AAAAAAAAGATTCGCGCCAAACGGTTGACCGTTCCGAGTCCCGTAGCTTAATTAAATGATATTTTTATCAGATTTCATCCAAATAAAATAAAGTATATTTATCCAATCATGTTGTTTACAAATTGTTCATATCATGTGATTCATTTCATCATCCATATTGAAACATATCACATCATGTGCATGCGCAAGAGATCAGGCGGAAGTGCGTCTCTTGTAGTTGTGATTGTGCGGGACTTAGCAGTCCGACATCACGGACCGGGCTTAGTGTACGTACATGGTACTTAGGCTTTCGAGTACCACCCCTATTTCTGCGTGAGTTCGTCGTACAAAATGGGCGAATCTCATAGTTCAAGGCTTGTCCTTGTGACCTAGAATCATACAGCATGAATTCATCATCAAGCAAATGCAATCATTATGACTATGTATGACATCCATTACGTATCACAATCATCATTTGAGCATACATGCTATATTATGTCATATCATGATAATTATATGTCTACTTGCTATTCAACTTGGAATTGTTGTATTAGCGTATTCCTCAGCTGACGCTGAGCGTGTAGTTTGTTTTACTTGCTACACGCTGGTAACAATACTGATCATGGAGCCCATCCCGGAGGTCAATGAGAGTGACGAGATGTACGGACTGGTGGACCACATTTATGATGTTTTAATTAAATAAATACCTTTTCGGGCGAGAACCCAGAAAAATGTAAAACAATTTGATTATGTTTTATATTTAAGCTTCCGCACTGTTTCAGCAATACTCTGAATTTAATATTTGAAATTATCATTTATATTAAAGTTTAAATTGGTTTTAAATTATTCCTCAAATTGTTATGCGTATTTACCATCATGGTAACTACTTCGGCTCAAATAATCTATGTAATTGGGTTATTCGAGTTGGGGTGTTACAAAATTTAATCAAACATCGTAACCCGTCCTATATATCCTCATACTCTTTATATCTTTATTTTATTATTTTAATGGGTTAATCTTCAAATACTTATTCTCCGAAATTAAGTCCTTGATAACCTACAATGTTCAACTCAAGAGTTGCTCTTTCAATCTCCTTATTTTAACGTTTATCTAAAAGAGCTTCTAACAATTCATGCTAGCCTATGTGACTAGTAAGAGAGATTAGCCTAGACCCTTTGTCAATTTCTAGATAGACACGATATTCGGGAACGAACCGACCATTCGGGAAAGGGTCATTTTCATTTCACTATGATGTCAAAGAGATTGAATTTATACATTTTCTAGGCTTCGTGAAATACAACTCTTCTAGGACCCTTCTTTAAATTTGTTATTTATACTACGCAAAACTTGTGTATGATATGCCTGACGTACTAGATCGGATCTGTGTCATTATTTCTTCTTTTAATGTGTGAGTTTGATCGGTCAACAATTGTTGCAACTCGCTTTATTTGATATGGTTTGGTTTGACCAAATATGACGATCACTTATATAAATTCATCAAATAGTACGTGAAAGTTCCAACAACCCTCTAGAACCTTTTCTTCCATCATCTCAAGCCAATATATAAGTGTTTAGGCAAATTATAGCCCTGACCCGATATTAGCCTTCTTAGTTATTTGCAAATTTTCATTTATCGCATGGATTACTTGCTTTCATTGGGCGAAAAAACTTGGCTACCCACTTGAAAATAGCATGGGCCAAAGTTGTTATCATGGTACTTCTTCACCCATTGCTGGTAGTTGTTTATCTTTGATTCAACCATCATCCTTTGTTCTTTAACTAGGTTTAATTCAGCTATGTGATCTTCCTCATCATGTTTTAATTGGAAATTGACCACCCTAAAAGTGGGGACTTGTACTTCAATAGGGTAACCTTGCTTCAAACCCATAGTTAAGGGCAATGGGGTTCCTCCCAATCTCTTAGAAATTTACCATGTTCGGTCTCTTCACAATATTCGATTTTTATCCATCAATTGAGGGATTTATTGGAGATATGAACCATCAATTATTTAACAAGAGCTAGTACTGCATGTGCCTTAATTGAACCAATGTCGTAATATGACATTGAAACTCAATGCCAAAAATCCTTCTTGTAAACGCAACTTAAAATTTGTATTTACTAAATATAAATACCTAGTATGGAAATCTTGCGTGCATTGAACTGAAAAATTGCTACAAAATTGAACAAAAATGTTCTCAAATGATTTCAAAATTGGGAAAAAAAAGATCAGAGTTCATCCTCTTCATTTAAGTAATACTATACGGAGTGCATGTATTGCAAATTCCTTGTAGCATTCATCAATAGGGATTTACGAGGTGCAAAAGCAGTTTAGCAAACAGAGCAATAGTAGGCGCACAAAATCTGAGGACAAAGATTATATATAGACTTTCACTTTCACAAGTGTAACTAGCCAATTTATTCGTTCCCGAGGAAGAGAATCATTATTCAAGTTCTTGAAAATGCAAGGGCCGTCTTTCATTAATACTTTTGTCCCTAGTTGAAAATGTAATCACATGTTGATTCTTTACTCTATCTTTCTGTTTAGATGAGAAGAAGAAAATGAAAAGGAAAAAAAAGTATTTTCAAGTGTTGAAATAAGCATTTATAAAATTAAAAAAAAATATGTGAGAATGTTCATATGTATCTTAGGTCCACTATAGAACACTCAATATATCTATAGTATTTTGGATTCTTCCTAATGGCTTTGGAAAACAGCTTTTCGGATAGCTTTTGCCATCTTTGACTAACTTTAGTTTTTTTGACTAAGCGAAACAGCCAAAACTATTGTCTGGTTAATAACTTTTTCACTTGGCATTTTGATACGAAAAACCAAAATCTGAAATGCCAAGGGGAATAGCTTTTGGACTTGGCAGTTAGGAAAATTAATTTTTATAAAATTATTTTTCTTGAAAGATAATTTATAATATATGTAAAAAAAATAAAAATAAAAGTTAAAAATATTAAATACTAAAAAAATAAAATTTAAAATTTCAAAATTTCAAAAAAATTAAATGAGAAAATAAAAAGTAAAAATCGTTAAAAAGTTGTGTGTGTGTGTGTCTATATATATATATATATATATATATATATATATATATATATATATATATATATATATATATATATATATATATATATATATATATATATATATATATATATATATATATATATATATATATATATATATATATATATATATATATATATATATATATATATATATATATATATATATATATATAGGAACAACTATTTTCAAACACCTAATTTTACCAAACATTTTTAACAATCAGTCAATTCATCATGTCGGTCAAACTAGCTAAACTAAATATCCATTCACAACAGCTGGCACGAACGGCCAACCGCCAACCGCTGACAGCCAACATCCAAACAAGGCCAATATGACTTTTATATTATAGTCAATAATTTTAAACTCTAAGTGCAAATTACGGATTAAATACATATAACCACTAATAGTGCAAAAAAAAAGAAATTAAATTGGGAATTGCCAAGCTTATTAGCTAATGGGGTTCCTCCTAATGAAAAACGGGAGTACAAATTACGGAATACTGGGGAGTATAAATAAAGGGGCACATCTTCCCCGGCTCTCTCTCTCTCCCCACACATACATGTCACGGACTTTCATCTTCCAATATGATGACGGAGGAGGAAAACAGAAACGGCGGCACGGCGGCGGCGGAGGAGGAGGAGCTGCCATCAAACGGGTCGCACCAGAACGGGTCAAGATGGAACCCGACGAAGGAGCAGATCAACTTGCTGGAGAGGTTTTACAACGAGGGAATACGCACCCCGAGTGCGGAGCAGATACAGCAGATCACCGCCATGCTCCGGACCTTCGGCCACATTGAAGGCAAGAACGTGTTCTACTGGTTCCAGAACCACAAGGCTCGCCAACGCCAGAAACTCAAGCAACGCCACTTTGCCGCCGCTGCCGCCGCCGCGCCTTTCTTTAACCCTTCCCCTTCCCAATACCATCATTTTCCTCTCTATTATAATTTCCCTCCCCAGTCTCGCCCCAATGGTAAGTATACTATCCACAGTAGTAAATCATACTCTTTATTTATTTTCATATTAAAATAATTGATATAAGATACATAGGTTGATTATATTAAAACATTAAATTACTTTGTTCAACTCTTGAATTTATACATCCATTATTTTCTCTTCAAACTTATGATGGGAGACACTTTTGAATTAATGGGTAGGTCACTTACAAATTCATTTCCAGTTGGATATGAATTTCCAGACGATCAATCTGATAACATGATCCTTAGATCTTTGGGTACGGATTTTATATGAACAATTGAGTTATAAAGACTCATCGACTGCTAGATTTATTAGGCTAGAAGACACTTGAATTGAATTTAATTAAAAATTGAAAATATTAATTCTTGCCGTATAAATTTTATTACGTACTATTTGCAGCTATTTACAGGCCGTACTACGTACCGCCACAACCGGACGTGGGGTTGTATGCAAAAAGCCCAGGGTTATTCTTTCCTGCAGTGGAAACTCCGGGGTATATTCGGAAATTACCAAAGATTGACCAAAATGAAAAAGCCGTTCGACAAGAAGAAGAAGAAAGTAAATGTGCAAAGGAAAAGGAGCGGATGCGAGAAACTTTGGAATTATTCCCACTTTGCCCTACGGGGATATTACACGAACAATGTAGCAACAAGAATAATAATATTGGTGACCGGCTTTACGAAAATGCCCCTCGGGACGGAGGAGGAGGAGGAGCGTCGCCGCCATATCTGCCGCCGGGAGAAGAAACGGAACACCACCCATTCATTGACTTCTTTAGTGGAAATTAAATGGAGTAGGATATGAATGTGACACTGCTGCTGACAATGTTTGACTGGTGATAACTCTCATGCATGCATGGATGCCAATATATGGCTAGCTACTTCTTCTCCAATCCAAACTCTTTCTCTTTGTTTTCTTTCTTCTTTTTGGGATTCTTTTTTTATATTTATTGGTGGGGGTGGATTTTTTTGGCATAGAGCTCTAACAATGGAGGGATATTGTGTGTTTGTTTATTTTAATTATTTAATGGAGAAAAGTCTAATAATAGCTACTTTTGATGGGGGTTTTGAGGTGGGATTGGGCTGGAGGGCTGATTTCTTATTCCCCATAAGAAAAGCCCCTAATATAATTTGTCTTCTTCCCATAATTAGTGACTTGGGTTTGTGGGCTGGATGCAATGCAGGCACATGTATTATTACCGAGTACGACTGTATGTATAGTAGGGAGACTGATAATTGATGGAGTATTTTTATTTAGAGTTCAAGTTGAGCTCATCAAGAGGAACTGCTATTAAAATTATAAAGGGATATATACTCCCTTCATTCCTTTGAATTCTTTCTCTCTACAATTCATTTTGTCTAAGGGAGTATAAAAATTTACAATGAATATGATTAAAATGTAGAAATTTTACCAAATTATTAGTATTGAAAAATATGTTTAATGTATTATTTTTAATATATTTTTTGTTAATATATTTCAATAGATATTATTAGTCAAACATCATGCTCAAAAAAATGAATTGGACAATTCAAAAAGAATGGAGAGATAGAATTTAGGATTGGGTAGAGACAACTGGATTGGGCAATAAGACACTTGGGTTGAACCACATTAAATGATTAAATCCAATCGATTAGTTAGTTTAACTCTAAAACTTATATACCGATTATTTTACTCTTGGATTTTCCGATGTGGGATGTACTCTAACACTCCCCCTCAAGTGGACAACCGGGCCATTTTGAATCTAACCGGTTGACCACTTGCAAATGAACTCTCATTCCCTTGACTTTTTTATGAGTGCCAACACCTAAAGTACCACGAGTCGCTGGGTATGGACTTCCAGACGAGCAATCGTGTTAAACAGGCCACAGGCCATTGGGTATAATCTCCATACGGACAACTGGGCTAAAGACTAACGGACCGCTAGGAATGAACGTCTAGACGGACACCTTGACAAACGAGGTGGGCTAAAATTGGCTCTGATACCATGATAGAATTTAGGATTGGGTAGAGACAACTGGATTGGGCAATAAAACACTTGGGTTGAACCACATTAAAAGATTGAATCTACTCGTTCAACTCTAGATCTTATATACCGATTATTTTACTCTTGGATTTTTCGATGTGAGATGTACTCTAAGAGAGAGAGTAAAAGTACGTAATGAATACATGGTCGATTCTAATGATTCGATGGTCGTGAACGAGATAAAAAATAGAACTTCACTCTAATTAATAGATAAAATTATGTTAACAATTTTCTATAAAGCAATAGTTAATATTATAATAATACACATAAAAAAAATTAGTATTATGAATAACGTAATACCCACTTTAAAAAGTTAATTTTTAAGATTTTTATTGAATAAATTTATATTATTATTTGTAAAATATTAATTCTATAATTGGTTCTATATAATAAGAGTTTTCATATATATTTAGTTCTCTATTATTAAATATTACGCCTGAGATCCTTTTTTATAGATATCTTTTCACGGATCGTGTTTTTTACCTACTATCATGTTGGTGTAATATTGAAGAGACTATAATTGTAATTTCACTATATTCATATATATATCATAGTCAATGTCTTTCTTATCATAGTCAATTTCACATGTATAATGTCTCATTACTAGAATGCGAATTCCTATTTCAGGAATAAAAACATGAAAGTCATATGTTGATTATTTTCTCTATGTTTTAGTCCCATTTAGGGTGATTTCTATAGTTATATACGCTAAAAGAGTAATACTATTTTTATACTCCGTAAAATATGAATAGACTCTATGAATAATTAAATGGATGAATGAATGGATTAGTGGGTTGTGAGTGTTTGTTTAAAAGATAAGATATCTAAATACACATGATGTGAATGAGAGAGAATGTTTGAATGGATGAATTGTAAGATAAGCAATGGAGATGCTCTTAGCCCACGCTAAAAAATAGATTCACCTGTGAAATCTAAAGTATTCGAAATTCATGAATTGGGTATCTTCAATTCAGCGAGGCAACTTCTCTGAGAAGTTTCTATGGTCTAAACTAGTTGAGTCTCGATCCTAAAAATAGCATTGACTGATTGATAGATTGATAGATTTAGGTCATGTTCTTTCCAAATTAATTTTTATTTATTACTTATTCTTATTGAATCAGACCAGGCCAAATCAAATTGGAATGAAATAGCTTTAATTATAACTGCATTCAGATTCGATCAGAACTTATTTCAATCAAATCAGAACCAATCAGATTATGTGAAGAGAACGTGGCCTTATTCCGGTCAATATAATTTAGTCTCATAAGAACTATTCTATTAAATTGGCTTTGATTGTGTAATATTAGTTAACAATATATTCGCCCTTGAATATTTATCTAGTTTGACTTTTTAAAATTAAATTGGACAAACTTATATGAGTAAATTTCATAAATGATCCCCAATTACGGGTGATTTTCTATATTTAGTCATTAATTCTTAGATATTTCATAAATTGTCATTAATTTTGGAAATCTATTTCACAAATAGTCCTTTAGGCCAAAGATAAGATTTTTTTCAACAAATAGTCTTTGATTCTTTGAGGACTGATTATGGAATATTTTTCAAAAATTGAGGACCATTTATGAAATATCTAAAAATTGGAGACTAAATATGAAAAATTATTTATAATTAGGGACCATTTATAAAAGATACTCAACTTATATTATCAATTAATTACAAGTTTTGTTGTATTTTAGAACAAAATACATTCATTAGATTTTTGTTTTAGAAACATTCAAAAAATTATTTCTTAGTATGAATATGTAACACAATTAAATGCAGTTGACTATTAAAGTGTATCTAATTTGACATTAAAAAAAAATCAAAGTGATATTCGATTGAATTAAACACATCAAAACCAAACTAGGGAACTTATAAGATAAACCCAGCCCATTAACATACGGAAAAAGGTAGTCCAAGCCCATAACAAACCAAACTTATCTCCTGAAAATTTTTCTGATTTTGACTTTTGGAAGGGAATATATAGAAGTTTTTTCAAGGCGAAATGACTCAACTGAAACAAGGTTGGCTCAGAAAAGTGTCAAAATGGGTAGAATGTATAAGGAAATTGAGGTAGGTTCAGTTAGATTTAAGAAAAGTAAGAGCAATCGTGTTCATTTAAGCAAAATTGAATTGTTTTTTGGGACGGGTAAGAAGTAAAAAATTGAAATATTTTAAGGGACGGATAGAATATAATTCTTTGAGTAAGAATTGAACTTAGTTTGAATCTTTACAACTGTGCTAAGAAGACAACTAATCTAACTATGTTAAACATAGGACTTTTGTAAGTATCAAATGCAAACTCTGTCTATATGATCCAAATCCAATTTATCTCCTCTCAGTGATCGTTCGATCGGATCTAGAGACACTCGGATGGGGCTCATCTATTTTAGTAAAAAAATTTTATGCCATGCTTGTTTTATGGATAAAGCTATTTGTATCCCAAAAATTTGTACCCCATTTTGTACACCGTAGGGAAACACCAACATTTTGTGTTGGTGTAATACTAATTTTTGTTAACGCACCAACATTTTGTGTTAGTGTAAGTTTTTGTTAACGCACCAACACTTTGTGTCAGTGTGAACCATCAAAATATTGATACATACTTTTGGTGTACAAATGAGATACTCCTTCCGTCCCAAAATATAAGCAACATTACGCTAAACGAAGTACTCGTAATTTTTTGAATTTTTTCAATCCATTTTATTTAAAGAATGATCTACAAATGAAAAATAAAACTTACATATTTAAAAACTACGTCAAAAGTTCTACAAAACAAGTGGTGACAAGAATATTTTATTTTATTAAATAACCAATAAAAATGTAAAAATAAATAAAAGTTCCCGTGATTTTTAAATAGTGGAGTGTTGCCTATATTTTGGGACGAATGGAGTATAAATTTGGGATACATGTAGCATGTAGCATGTAGCATGCTCCTAGTTTTATTTCAAAAAAGAAAGGAAAGAGAAAGGTAAAGGCCAAGCAAAGTCATCCATTTCATCAATTTCTTAGTTCCCTATCTCCCTCCCACGTCATTATTTTCAATGTCATCTCACTTTTTCCTTTAACTTTTATCACTATTCTTTAATTATTGGAAAATGTTAGGGATACATCTTTGATGTATCCCAAATATCTTCCACTCTTTTCATAACCACAAAAAAAAGCAAGTAAAATTCAAAAAATAAAAAAAAAATAAAATGAAATGAATGGTGTAGAGACAAGTGATGTACATTTGGCTACACCTATAGCGTATCCCTAACATCTCACTTAATTATTCTCATACATTTTTCATTGTTTTTTCCCACATGTCATTATCATAGTTGAGCACTGGTAATGGTTATGAAGCCCTGGGGCTTCAAACCGGGGCTTCAAACTTTCTCTCTCTGCCACGTCAACTTTAACTTACACCCAAAATTCACTGGAAATGGGTTTGAAGCCCCGGGGCTTCAAAACTGGGCTTCAAACCTTCATTTTTTACATTTTTAAATATACATCTTTTAAAATTAAATTAATAAAATGTAATTAATTTATTATTTAATTAAATTGAAACACGAATAATAAAAAAATACATTCATTAAATAAAAAAAGCGTCAATAATTTAAAAAAAGATACATTAATAAAAAAACTAAGGTAAATTATATTTCTCCTTGATCTCTCTCATTCTTTGCTCATAGATCATTCGTCCAAACTCCGACAACGTCCCGGGGTCGGTTTGCATGACTTTCATCTCGGCTTCCTGCTCCTTTAGCTTCAACTCCTTCTCCTTTAGCTTCAACCTCTCTTGTTCTTGGAGATTGAACGCCCGAAGTTGTTCAATCATTTCCCGGCCGATTTCGTCGCGGGGAGAAGCGGAAACAGAGGCAGACCCTCCCGAACCAGAGGCAATGGATTTTGCCTTCTTTCTTCCGATCGGCCGTGGAATGGGGTCCTCGTCATCGGAATCCGCAACGTTGAAGGGAGGGATTTGATCGGTAGAACCGATAGTCTCGTCGATCTCAACCTCGGCGTCGACGGTGGATCTTTTCCGCAATGATCCGCCGTCGGGATTGTTGAGTTGTTTCCACTTCGGGGAACGACTCAAAATCCCCCAAAGATCGATGGGCACCTTGCCTTGGTTCCCGTCGTCTTGATACCGGGTCGTGGCAAGCCGGAGAACATCAGCGTCGTTCATGCCGCTCCTCCGGGACCGGGAGCATTCCTCGTGTACTCCCATAAACTTTCGTACTTTTTTGTTGATGTGGCTCCATTTGGAAGTGAGTTGGTCCCGGGTTCGGTAGGAGCCGTCCTTCTTCATCGCCGTGAAGAACTTCTCCTCGATACGATCCCACATCGCATCCTTCGTTTGCTCCGTACCTTTAAAAATGTATTACACAATTTGTTTAGACACCATTAAATATAATATATATAAATAAAAACATAAATATATTAGAAAAAATAAATTTTAGACCAATGATAGGATGCTCGGAGACGTCAACCCAAGCCGACGCCAATCTGCACTCCTCCTCCGGCGTCCACTTTTGGATTGACCGTGCCGCCTCGGTCAACGTGCTTTTGGCTTTGTGGCTCCTCCGGCGTGTACTTTTTTTCGATCCGGACGGTTCCGGTTGAGTCTCCGAAACTGAATCTCGGTCGACGTACCCCGATTGTTGCGTCTCGTATATCGGCGGTCGATCGCCCCACTCTTGGTAGAACCACATCGCGGCGTCACTCGGCGGGAGATCGTCGGGAACGAAGCCGGAGCCGGAAGGATTCATGTTGAATAGAAAGAGGGTAATTTCGAATTTTAAAATGGGAAGAAGAAGAGATTGAGAAGAGAAAGTGTGAGAGATTGGGAGGGGGGTTTGAATTTATAAGAATTTTTTTTTTTAAAAAAAAAGGGATAAACGGCTATAAAGCCGTTGGGAAGGGGAGGGGTTTCGAATGACGCCGCGTCATTCGTTTGACGCAAGGGCGATCACGCCCGATCACGCCCGGAGGGGGGCGGTGTTTCACGCCGGCGGGGCGTTAAACGCCCCCTCACGCCGTGGGGCGTTGCTGGTATTACCAGTGCTCTTATACATAAAAAATTGGCCGATCATATTTTTTCTCTATACGAGAATGTAATTCTCCACATCTCTTCTCTCTCTAAACAAGCTTTTCATGATTCCCCTTCCACATTATCTTATTCCCCTTCTTGTCTCTTCTAGTAGAGATGCCTTTAGTAATGGTGAAATTTACACTAAATAGGACTAAAATATAATTCATTTCATAATGTAGAACTTAAATTTTTCTAATCACCTAAATAGTACTTAATAATGTCTAGTAGGAGGAATAATATCCAGTGATGTTGGACATTTACTGGAATAATGACTAATGGATAATGACAAATTGTCCTATATTAGAAAAAAAAACATATGGTCCTGTATTGAGAAAGTCATTATGTTTTAGTTCTATTTAGGTAAATTCCTATTAATATTACTCTCTATGTCCTTCTTGGTTCTTCTAATTTTGATTTGTACGATCTCCAATGTAACATTTTGTTGGATTTATATAAGGAAGAACACTGCGAAGCAGTGTTAAACGAAGAACTCGATAGTATAACGAATCGCGTACGAAACGATTTCAAATCAAAGTTATTTCGGGGTATACGAAAACTTCAATCGGATAAGACGTTAATTAAGAACAAGCACTCGAAAATATGCCCCTCAACCCATACCACGAGACTCTATTTTATAGAGTCGAAAATCCTCATGATCGGACATGAACGTTCGCGTAGATGTACGCGTACGTTTGCACGAGGAAGAAGAAAGGCGCGAGAAGTTCCTGCGGCTTTTGGAGTAAATTTCGACGTTATCCACTCGTTGGAGTCCTTTACCGCTTTGGACTCCGATCACGAAAATCTTAAGGATTTTCATAACCACCCCGGCCAGGGGCTCTGCCCCTTGGACCCCGCTACCCGGGGGCTACCGCCCCTGGACCCCCACAATGAATTTTTAATATCGTTGAACGAGCTCGCACTCTGCGCCTCCTAACTCGTTTGACAACGTCTATTAAAATTCTTGTCCGATCTACTAAATCCAATTACACAAAATAAACCGATGACACTAAAATCACCAACACATTTTAATCATTATAATCTTTATTTATATTTAGATATATATTTTAAACATATGACATTCTAAAACTATATTTCAAACTAAACTTATCAATATTAAATTTATATCACAATAGATGTATTTATTTTAAATTTGTGATCAGCGTATTTAAAAGTTAACCATCTAAGTCAAAATTTGAAGAATCAATTGGAATTTGGGATGAAAGAAAAGTTTTTAATTTTTTTTATTTTTTGTAGAAGTATGATTTTGATTACAAATGTTTGTGGGGTCAAATTTAGAAGAAAGCTAGGTGTAGTTCCAATATGTACTGTGCATTTAGTCGCACGTGAACGCTTCTCTTTAATAAAGCACTGGCTGTTCTCTCTCACTCTCAACTTTTCCCTTTTACCCATTATATATATACTCCCTCCGTCCAGAAATATTCTTCCCATTTTCCTTTTTAGTCCGTTCAGAAATATTTTTCCCATTTCCTTTTTAGTATACTTTTTAAGGATAATTTCAATAATACTCTTCTATTTTATCACTAAACTACTTTTTTAGTACTTTTTTTAATAAGAAAAGGAGATTTAAAAGTTTATAGTATGTGTATTTTTGAAAATTTTGTATTTTTTTTACTATTCCTTAATAAGCGTGCCAAGTCAACACAGGAAGAATATTTCCGGACAGAGGGAGTATCTCTTTCATATAGGTGAAACTTTTTTTTCCATGTGATTCCTAATACGGAGTATATTACATTGTTATTCTCCATGTTTAAAAATATTTCTTCTTTTATTTTTTTTCACTTCCAGTGATTTTTCTATTTTCTAGTAAAAAAAATTTCTTTTACTCTAATTTGTTTTATAATACCTATCATATCATACTTTTCCTCTAATAATTTATCTATCACATCAAAAAAAACAAAATTGAAGGCAAATATGACCACCATCGCCACTTGGGGGTCACGNGGGGGGGGGGGGGTGATAGGGGCATGATTCATGAAGGCAGATCACCACTCCCTCCTCCTCACGCATCATACCACATCGCTTCAGGTCTTCATCATAAAATATTTATGCACTATTTGGATAAAAAAAGAAAATGAGTGGAAAGAAACTCGATAGAAATAAAAAGAAAAAAATGGAAAGAAAATAAATATTGTTTGGATAGGTAGAAAATAGAGAGAAAAGGTAGAGGAAAGAAAATGTATTAAAATAAAAAGAAAATTTTACCCTTATTCTATATGGAAAGTGAACATGGTGGAGAGTAAAAGTGTCATTTCCAAACTTTTCTCTCCCTTGGACCAATTTTCTCGCCCCTAGATAGGAGAAAACTTTTTACTTGGGGTGAGAGTCAATTTTCATTCTCCCCATTTTATCCTGCGAAGAACCAAAAGAAAGTTTTTTGGGGGATTGTATTTTCCCCAACCCTTTTTTTCCCTCTAATTTCACCTCATCCAAAGACAAGCTTAACTTGTAAAAGAAAAGTTTTTTAGGTAATATATTATGTAAGAATATTCAAATAATTTTAGAAAATAGGAAAAAGGAGATGCATTGGCACAAGAAAAAACACAATGAAAACTGAATCAAAGGAAAAATGTAAAATAGAGTGTGGGGCCGGTCCAAATTTTTCGTGGGCCCTGAGCAAAACTTAACAGTAACTCTGCAACTTATAATCAAGCTCGGGTTTAATTGAAGTGGAGACTGCCACGGCTGGTTTGCACTTTATAGTTTAAGATTTTATTGTGAAAAACAAAAAATGTAAGGGTGGAATTATTTTGGCTTATAATTGCATACACTTCATCCATCTCAAATTAAACTACTCTCTCCGTCCTAAAACTTTCATCTCGCTGCGCAAAACGAAGAAAAATCCCAAGTTTTTTCAATCTATTTTATTTAAATATTGGTATAGAAATAAAAAATAAAACATACATATTTAAAAACTACATCAAAAGTTCAACAAAACAAGTGGTGACAAGAATATTTTATTTTATCATATAGACCATGAAAAAACACAAATAAATACAAATTCTCGTGAAGTTGGAATAGTGCTCTGGGAAGAAAGTTTTAGGACGGAGGGAGTATCTATTTTGTACTCCTTCCGTCCCCAATTTGATTACAAATTGCGGGTTACGAAGTAAAATTTTTTACTTTTTAAAATCATTTTATTTACAAATTGGTATATCAATAAGATATAAAAATTACATATTAAAAAAATACGTCAAAAGTTCAACAAAACAAGAGGTGACATGAATATTTTATTTTATCAAATACTTAATGAAATCACGTAAACAAACAAAAGTTATCGAGAGAAGAGAAAAAAAATTGTAATCTATTTAGGGACGGAGGGAGTATTATTCAAAAAATCAAATTTCATTCAACTGTTTACATATTTTTAGTATTCATTTGATAAAAATATTAAGACATTTCAATGTCATCTCTTATTTTGAAAAGTTTTTATACTTCCTCCGTCTCATAAACTTCCTCTCCGATCCTTTCTTTTTTTTTGTCCCACAGAGTCTTTCTCTTTTCTATTAAAAATCTATTTTTACCTTTATTAATTTACCTTACTTATCACATCATACGTTTTTATATATTAATAATCTACCATCACATCATATCCTACCTTTAGTTATCACTTATCACATTAGAGGTGTTTTTTCAAAAATCGACACAAAAATAGCACTTATCACATTAGATGTACCATAATAGCACTAATATAGCTCTATAATACTCAAAATAACCGTGCTATAGGGTTTTGAGATGCATTCCCGGTTTTGTCCTTAATTAAACATCCAAAATTGAATTATGAAAAATCAGTAATTAGCGGCCCTCTAGGATTATTGCATACGGAAGATCTGATCTTCACGCCATATTACTGAAAAAACATCCCAAATATGGCCTTGAATGCAGAAGCAGCATCGAAAAGGAGATGTGCAAGGGTTTCAATGGTAAACGATGATGCGTTGGACAAGATTCCTCTTAGCAAAAGATTGAAGAAGGTACATGTATGCTTAGTTTAATTTAGCAGTGAAATTGTTTAATTTGGTAGTGGATTCGGCAATAGCTTCGTTTAATTTGGCAGTGGAGAAGATCGGCTGTGGATTCGGAAATAGATTCTTAATTATAATTTGGCAGTGAATTCGTGAGTTTGGTAGTGGATTGAGTTTTTTTAAATTTGGCAGTGAATTCGTGTGTTTGGCAGTGGATTGAATTCGTGAGTTTGGCCGTGGAGAAGATTGGCAATAGATTCGACAATAGCTTCGTTTAATTTCGTATGTACCGTATCTCCCGTAGGAGGGATCGGACGACAATAATGTGCCGTAAATGAACTTCTTGAATAACCTAATTTTAATGAAATACATAAAAAAAGACTAAATTATAATAAAAGGGTAAAGGGTATGATAGGAACGGATTGACACCATAAATAGTTAAGTTTGTAAAAAATAATGAGCAGTGTTAAATGCGTAATATTGGGGTGAGTTAGAGTGTTACGTAGGGTACTTTCTTAAATATTTTTCTTTTAATTTTTCTAAAAGTCAAAATATGAAGGACATTAAGGAATGGATGATTTATAAATTTTTAATATATACTTTTTATTAATCCTTTTACTCCTTAATTTCCTTGGTATATACTTTTTTTTACATTTAATTATTCTTGTTTCAATATAATTAAATACTGAAATTATTAAATTTTATTAATTAAATTTTATAAGATGTTTATTTAAAAATGTAAAAAATAAAAGTTTGAAGCTCCTGTTTGAAGTCATGAGACTTCAAACTCATTTCTAGTGAATCTGTGAGGTAAGTTTGAAGCTCCGATTTGAAGCCCCCGAGACTTCGTACCTATTTTGAGTGTCCTTATTGTCCTTGGTATATATTTTTCCTCTTGTATTTCCTTTTTCCAATAAGGGTAATAAAAATAACCCATTACCCATGGGCACTTTGGTCATTAAGCATTAGGTCTTGAACGTTCTATTCCGATCTCTCTCCTATATATAGAAAGATATAAACCCCATCGCCGCCTCGGAGTGTCAAAAAACTCACACATTCAAGTAAAAGAAAACTCAGTTGCCGGAAATGGCCACTCCGGTGAGTCTACTCTCCCTTTCTCTCCTTCTCGCCTTCTGTTCAATGTCGGAAGCGACCGATCTCATTCTCACTCTCGTCAACAATTGTCCCTTCACCGTCTGGCCGGCAATCCAACCCAACGCCGGCCACCCCGTTCTCGAGCGCGGCGGCTTCGCCCTCCACACCTTCACTCACCGCTCTTTCCCCGCGCCGGCCACCCACTGGTCCGGCCGAATCTGGGCCCGAACCGGCTGCACGGACTCCTATGGCCACTTCTCCTGCGCCACCGGCGACTGCGGCGGCCGCCTGGAGTGCAACGGCTTGGGCGGCGCAACGCCGTCCACCCTCGTCCAGCTGGACCTCCACCACGGCCACGCCGACTTCTCGTCCTACGCCGTGAGCCTCGTCGACGGCTTCAACCTGCCCATGACGGTGACCCCACACGAAGGCAAGGGAGTATGTCCGGTGGTGGGGTGCCGGCCGAACCTCCTCGACACGTGCCCGCCGCCGCTCCACTTCCGGTCCAACGGCGGACACGGTCCGGTGGTGGCGTGCAAGAGCGGGTGCGAGGCGTTCAAGACGGACGAGCTCTGCTGCAGGGGACATTTCAACAGTGTGCAGACGTGCACGGCGTCGGACTACTCGAAGTTCTTCAAGAGTGCTTGTCCGGAGACGTTCACGTACGCGCACGACGCGCCGTCGCTGATGCACCAGTGCTCGGAGCCGCGGGAGATAAAAGTTATTTTCTGCCACTAATTAAGTGTTTACTGCGGATCGGAGCAGAGCATTAATTAATAATGGGGGAAGTGGAAGGTTAATTGCGTTATTATTAGTATAATTAATCATGTGCGTCTTTTTTGTACTAGTAATGTTTTATTTGGAAGGGCATTTTGGGATAGTATTTTATGGTATTTTGGTATGGTGGAACTTTTTGTATTGATGGTGATGATTGTGTCTGAGGGCAAGCACGTGGGTGCTTTGCTTTCTTTATCATTTCGTCTTGTGATAATAAAAAAAAAGGGTCCACTTTGATTTGGTATGAATATTTAAATTATTTTATTTATAAATGAGTACGTCAAAAAAATTGAAAATTACTCCGTATATAATAAAAAATTATATTAAAACTTCTACAAAACAAAAAAAAATCAAAAAAATTTAATTTTATCAAAATAGTTAATAAAAATACTACCTCCGTCACACTGTCTTTGTCCACATTTGACTTTTGGAACTATTCATTCTTAGTACTTTGACTCATCAAATTCTCTCAATGTGTAAGCCTAAAAATAGTCATGTGTGTTCTTGTTTAATTTGTCTTAATATATACTGCGTAGATTATTAATATATAATTTCTATAATTTTTTAATATACAAATTACAAGATAAAATGGATTAAAGAAGTGCATTGGATGGTGTGCCAAAAGGTAAGTGGACAAAGACAGTGGGACGGAAAGAGTACATAATTAAACAAAAGTTATTGAAATTTACAATTTTTTAGGACTAAACAAAATATGTAGTTTATTTTTAAGAGTAAATTCTCAAAATGGAATTTAATAATTATACGTTTTCCCAAATTAATTTGCAAAATAACTAAATTTCAAGTTATATTCGTTTATTGACAAATAATTCTCAGTTCATTCCCTGCAATTAATGATCGTTAAAATGACGTTAAAACAACGTTAAACTTTATATAATTTTCTTAAAATCGTAATTTCTAAGTGAATGTTTTCTCAAATTGGTTCATTTTCGTAATAAAAATGATTATAGAAAAATATTTTATATTTTATAGGATGACAATATAATATTTAAAACTATAAATATAATTTTGTAAATTTTAAAGCAAATGTTTTAGATTATTATAAGTATTTAAAAGAACAACATGCAAATAAAAAGTTTAAAAATTGTTAAAAAAATTACCCTAAATAGAACTAAAATATAAAGGAAGTACCAAATAAGAGTCTTTCTCTATGTTTTACTTTTATTTAGGGTGATTTTTCAAACGTTTATTATAAATTTTGCTTACATGATATTCTTTTAAATAATTGTAAATAATTTAAAACGTTACTTTCAAATTTGTAAAATTATATTTATAATTTTTAGCATTATATTATCATTTTATAAAATTTAAAATATTTTTCCATAATTAATGTATTTTTATTTCGAAAATGGACCAATTTAAAAAAATATCTAACTAAATATTAATATTTTGGGAAAGTAGTATAAGATTTAACTTCGTTTAATACCAGTTAGTCGGAATGGCTAAATTTAACATTATTCTTAAAAATTAACCTAGGAGTACACCAACATAAGGTACCCATTTGTAAATCAAGCTAACACAGACACACACAGACATAAAATATTTGTGGATGTGTGTGTCTCTGTTAGCTTGATGTACAAATGGGGTACTCCATGTTAATGTATTTCTGGCATTGCCATATTCTTAATTACAGAATACTACTCCGAGAATTGATTACTTTTAGAAACTATTTTGGAAAAACACGTAGTTATTGAATATTATTTTGAAAATTTACTCTATATTTAATTGGCAGAAGTGATTAATTTTGGAGAATTGAGGCGAGGAATGCTAACATCCAGTGCATAGATGTGAGTGGCTTAATTAAGTCGATGGAGGAAGACGAGAAGGGGTCGACCTAATAAGAATTATAAGGAAGTGATTAGGCAATACCTACATTGGACATCTTGTTCTGAACTAGAACATGACCTTAGATGAGAGTGCTAAGAAAGCTAGAATTAAAGTAGTTGGATATGCTAGAGCCTGGATGTGTACTTGTGTGACTTGTTTGACTCGTATTCTTGGTGCTTTTAATTGCAATGTTTTCAATCAAATTGAGAATAATTTCAATTAAATTTTATAAACTAAAATGGGATTTTTTAGGCCAGAGTAGGGGTGTTCTTCGGGTAAAATCCGGACCGGACAGGCCCGGACCGGAACCGAATAAGGGACATTTGGTGGACCGAGGACCGAACTGATTAAGCTAAGGACCGGCCGGGACCGGACCGGTAAAACCCGGACCGTACCGAATAAATGTTATTTTTAATTTTTTTAAATTTGATTTTATTTATTTAATTTAAATTATTCAATTGAATAAAAATATTACTACAACTAATTTTTAATGGTAACATACGCTAAACATTGTCAAACACAAATGTTTTGAATTTTTTTGAAAACTTTAAATAAAATATATATCTTCCATCCGTATTACATAAAATTTGTTCGTAATTTTTAGTTTATACAGGGAATATTCTTCTTCTTACTGCATTTTTGCTTTTTTGTAACATTTTTTTGAGTTTTAGATTTATTTTGACAAATGGAAAATTATTTTTGTTCATGATATTGTTTACAATGTTTGTTTTTGCGGATTAGAGCTTCATTATTGATAAAGTACAAATTTAAGTTATAGTATTGATACATAAATTTGAAATGTGTTAGATCGCTAATATAAAGATAATGTTTACCTTTTCACACTTTTTATATTAAAAATATTTAAAAATCATTAGAATTGGTCTCTTATTTTGAATTGAAAATGCATTTAAAAAATTATATTAAATAATAAAATCAAAACATTTAAAAAACTTTTAGTATTAAAGATAAATTAATTTTAGGTAAAAGAAAAAACCTTAAAAAATACAATATTATAAAACTATATAGAAAAAATATTTTTTAAAAAATAAAATGTAACTGGTCCACCGGTCCGGACTGAAACCCGATGGATTGAACCGAAACCCGAATAAGGAAAAAATGAGGACCGAAGACCGGACCGAATAAGGACCGGTCCGGACGGATCCGGTCCAGTTTAGGTCGGGTTTTGGGCCGGTCCGGGCCCGAACCGAATAATGCATAGTCCTAGGCCAGAGCAATTATTTTACAAAAAGTGGGGATAGGGCTTAGGGGTATATTGGGATAAATTATGAATAAAAAAATACTCGGACGTAAAAAAATAAAATAAAATAAAAAGTAGATACATCATTGTTATGGCAAGTGCCTTTTTGCATTAGGACAAATCCAAAATACTCCGTATAAAGATGAAAAGTCATTTTGGACCCTGAATAGATAGAGAGCAGTTCACATGCACGTACCATATGTTTTAAGTGTTGCCATGTCACTCGACACTCTTTCTTCGTGGAGCGTGGAGCCAACCGCTCGCCCAACTTTGAAAATTAAAATCTCAAATTTCAAATTTGGACCTCTCAAAATCTATGATTTTCAAACTTATGGTTCCACAGGCTCGAATTTCGAACGGTTCGATATTTGAAATTTCAAACTTATGGTAAGAGATGGAACTCATGGAAGGGATGATCTCTTTGAAATTTAATTTTTGCCAGTGGCATTGCACAGTTGGTAAATAGTCAAAGAGATAGACTTGACTTCAATTCCTAGTAGCTTCACTGAGAAGTAATTATGCTAAGCATATAATCTCTGCAAGTACCAAATGCAGACATCACTCTGACACCAATTCGTGATTACAGTCTAATTCACATGCTCTCGGTAACCGTTCTGCCGGTTCTGAAGACATTTTTAGAGTTTTTGGAGATGGGGCTCAATCTTTCAAAAAAAATTAATATTTAACGTGTCACCCTTATCAACAAGTTAATCCCAAATCCAATGTATGGGTTCTCCTGAAGTCTTTTATAGTGTTCTTGGTATAATTTAGGGGATATGGAGACTTTTGTCCTCTAATCCTCGGTAAACTGTCCCTGGCCGTATCCAAATTCAATGTGTCAATTCCTTAAATTTAATTAGTTTTAATGTCAAAGTCTTTATTCTACAGGTGGCTACTAATTTAAAGTAGATTTGAAGGAGATAGTGAGTGAGTTACAGTGGGTGGAAGAAGTAGTGAAGGGTTAAGGTAAAAATTATTAATTTTCAAGAATTGTGTTACCGTGGTATCAATGTCTACATGTCAAAAGAAAACTTTCTGATCTTATCCTTTTCATTGACAAACATGAAAATCTTTATTTTTTTTCAAAGAAGCCGATTCATCCATGATATTTACTAAACCCTATAAAATGAGTCTGAACTTTGGAACCATAGAAGAACTTATCATTTTTCAAAAAGAGTACTACAGGACACTCAATTTGGACAAGCATCAAACTCCATCTGTTTCAAAAAAAGATTCCTTATCTCTTTTTCAGGATGTCTTATAAATCTCATCTTATCTTTTATGAAATTTTTTTGAGTGATTCACACTATTTCTTTTTTCTCTATGTCACTTTCAACTATATATTTACATTATTTAAAAAAGCCAATTTAAAATGTGAATTTTTTTAGACGAAAGGAGTAATACAGAGTATATATGACACTCAGTCAAGAATTCATGATGCCAAGATAACCAAGATAATTTAACATATACTTTCTCCATCCAACTAAGAAATTATCATTTCGACCTTTTGTAATTTTTAAAGAAAGTTATAAAAAGGTATTCGTTTATCAAAATACCCTTAGGTAGTATTTAGCAATTAATATTTCATTTCAATTCATGCATTTCAATTCTAAAATTTGAAATCCTGAATTTCAAATGACAAGGGGAGGTGCATGAATTTCAAATTAAACTTTGTTATGAATGAAAAGAATTTGACTCAAATCCAAATTCAAAATATTTAAGTTTCCCAAACATGGAATTTGAGCCAAATCCAGATTTGAAATTCAAATCCATGTTCCCAAACATACCATTAATGAAAATGGATGGAGTGTATTAGAAAAATAACTTTTTAAAAAATTCCTTTATTAAATTATTATCAAATATATATGTAAGAAAATTATTTTGAATATAAAAAGGAATTTATTTTTAGTTGTTATGTCATAAATTTAGATACATAACATTATTGTATTGTCATTATATGTAAATATATTTTTCAAATCCTTTAAAAAAATTTGAGAGTAAACAGTGCACTTTTCTCATATCTAAAAAGTCAAAATAGATGATTACAAATTTTACAATGAAAAAATGGATAGATACTTCATACTCATATTAATGATCATTACGAGCTGAGTACAAATTTCAACCAAATTAGGACATGCTTTCTTGATGTTTCATATCAATTAGTATTTTTCATTCTTAATAAAATTTAACTAGAAATGATTTTAAATTTAACTTGAACCATATAAGACCAAATTGGCTCGACCTTAATAAAATCAAATGGGACTCAATCAGGCTTGATGTAAGAACTACTTTCAACTAGTTACCTGTTTGGAAATGTTCACTTCAGACTTAAGGAAGTGTAAAATTATAGTTGACTTCCAATTTTGCTCCTGATGTGATGGATAAAAGTAAGATATGATGGATTGATTAATAGAGAAAAAGTATGATGTGATAGGTAGGGTATGAAAAAGTAAGGGTAAAAGTGGTTTTTTAATAGAAATGGGAAGTGTTTTGTTGGAAGTGAAAAAAATGAAAGAGGAAGTGTTTTTGAGAACGGAGGGAGTATAATCAACTGTAAAATAAAGTGGTTGTTTGTATATAGTCGTACGTAGATGGGAATGTTACGTTAGACTTCTGATGGACCAAGAGGCTAGAACAACGAGCGCAACTGTGTGATAAAATTAACCGCTTGCATTTACAAAATCGAAATTCATTTTCTAAACCAAAAACTTAAGGCAATGAGTATGAGGCTTCGACCACCCGTCCATAACTCTATATATATATATATATATATATATATGCTAGTGTCATTATTTTTTATTTTTTGAATGTAGAAACTCCAAACAAAGAACTTTTATTTTAAGGGTAAAAAAAGCGTTACATAGGTCCTCTAAAAAAAACGGAACTTTTAACGGCTACAAAGTTTATGGTCGTTCGTTGAAGTGTTCAACGTTGTAGTATGTGGTTTACGACCGTACATGGCTCCCCAACCTGACGACGTTACCATCAATATCTCGCACGTACCCCACTCTTTGCCCCCACTTTTTTTCTGCCACCGCGCTCACCGGCACAGCCCCGTTCTCCACCGCTCTCTGCCAGTAGTCATCATCATCATCATATCTTCAATCATTATTTGATCAATAATTAATCAAAGTACATACATACTCCTTCCGTTCACAAATAAACTTTACATTGCGCGTTACGATGTTTGACTGAAGTTATTTTCAAATCATTTTATATGAAAAATGGGATAGAATTGAAAAATAAAAATTACATATTAAAAAACTATATCAAAAGATCTACAAAACTAGAGGTGACATGACTATATTATTTTATCAAATGGGTGACAAAAATAGGCCAATAAAGTGAATAAAATTTGACCATGCGAATAGTAAACGTAAAGTTTATTTGTAGACGGAGGGGGTATATAATAAAGTTTGAAAATTTATTACCAAGAGTCCAAGACAGGAGAAATGATAATGAAATCAAATCGTTACCTTGTACGCAGCATCGACGTCTACGTAGTCGAAGCAAAGCTCAATGGGTTGTCTTTCGCCAATTGAAAGAGGAGTCTGGACTTGACCGGTCAATTCATCGGTCTCGCGTTGATGGATTGGAGTGAACGCGATCGTCGTGGATCCGCTCTCTAGCTCCGCCCATCTGATCGATCGATGATCGAGCCACCCATTGCGCCAGCCAAAACATTTATCAACAATTAAATGATGCAATTAATTATAAGTATATCAACAAACAATGCGAAATTTGAGATCAAACTAGCTAGAATCGTGTGTCTGTGTACGGATAAATAAAACGAAATTACTTGCGGTTGTCGTCTAGACGACGAACGTTGTAGCCGAAAGCCTTGGCGTAAAAATCAACGGATTTCGAGACGTCTTTGGTGTAGACGACTGTATATGCAAACGCTGGGCCGCCCAAATTACTCGACGCCGCCATATATCTGTGTGTGGGTGTATATGTATATATGCTTTCAATTCCCACCGCCGGCCGCCTCCGTCCTCCACCGTAGATCTAATGATATGAAGATATATGGGTTATAAGCTATATAAGCGTTCATATGAATGAATTGATGCAAAGGAAACGGATGGAAATGACACATGGAAATGGAGAGCAAGTCGCACATGTACACCATGCAGCATTTGAACGAATAGGTAATTTATTAATTAATGCTCCACCTCATCCCTCGCTATGGCAGCTCTTGAAAATTCTATGGCCCTACACAAGGCTGGAAAAAAAGATTTTTAATCCCGACCAATTAAATTATGTTAAGAACATTTTTTTATTTTTCTATAAACATTTTTTTATTTTTATTAATGACAATAATTTTTTGGTGTGACTATTCCCCTCTGATCATTTTATGGTTTTTTTGGCGAAGAAGGGGGCATTGATGCCTAATTTCCAAACCACAGGCCACTGGTGACTATTTTTTAACAAGTAGTCATTATTCAAGTAAATATCCATCATTATTGGATATTATTCTTCCCAATAGGTCATTATTAAGTCCTATTTAGGGAATAAAAAAGTTTAAGTCCTACATTGGGAAAGTCATTATGTTTTAGTCCTATTTACTGCAAAAATTTACTTTTTATTTTTCATTTATTTTCTGTTTTTCTCCTTTATTGTTTCTTTTATAAATCAAGTTTTTGTAAACTTCTTTTTAAAATTTTTATAACGTTCTTATAATTTTAAAAAAAATGTTTGAAAAAAATTAACATACGAGTATATTCCATCTGTACGCCTTAAATTAACAATTCTTATTTTTGTTTTCCAAAATAAAAAAGTTTTTTTTGGAAACTTCAAAAAATGAGGAATAAAATAAGAAATAAAGTAAAACAAAAAATAAAAATGAATGTTCTTTTTGGACATTCCATTTCCAAAGACCTTTTAGGCGTTTTGAAAAAGATTGTTTTCATGTTTCTACTTTTTCGTTTATTAAAATTTTTAGACTTTTTTTGTTCATTAAATTTTTTCCTACTTTCCTTTTTGGATCATTCATAAAAAAATTTGACTTCCTATTCTGATAATTTTTAGTTAATAAATACTCTACCCGTCCCCAATTTGATTACAAATTGGGATTTATAAGGAGAAACATCTCACTTTTTGAAATCATTTTATTTACAAATTAGTATATCGATAAGAAATAAAAATCACATATTAAAAAACTACATCAAAAGTTCTACAAAATAAGAGGTAACAAGATTATTTTATTATATCAAATATTTAATGAAATCACGTAAACAAACAAAAATTATTGAGAGGAGAGTGAAAAAATTGTAATCAAATTGAGGACGGAAGGAGAATGTTATTATACTCCTTCCGTCCCACTCTTTTTGTCCACTTACCTTTTGGCACACCATCTAATTCACTTCTTTAATCTATTTTATCTTGTGATTTGTATATTAAAAAATTATAGAAATTATATATTAATAATCTATATGTTAAGACAAATTAAACAAGATCACACATGACTATATTTAGACTTACACATTGAGAGAATTTGATGAGTCAAAGTGCTTAGATGAATAGTTCCAAAAGTCAAAAGTGGACAAAGAGAGTGGGATGAAGGTAATATTTTTTGTTTATGTTATTCATTTTATTTACATTTTTTTAGATTTTCTAAAAAAATGTGTAAAGTCAAAATCCGAAAGACATCACTTTTCCTTGTTCCCCAACTCTGAATAATCAGTTTGTCATCTCTCTCTCTCTCTCTCGCTCTCCCTCTCTCTCTGGTAACTTCATCATTAATAGATCATCAATTCATCATCGAACTCCACCGCAAAAGTTGCTGTGCTCTCTCTTCCTTTTCCCCATTTTCTCTTTTCGTTGTTAGGCACGAAGGCCATTGCCCTCTGCAAAGAGAAGCTCCGTTTTTAGCGCTAAATTTGCTCGTATTCTCCTTAGGAATTCGACGCTTCCTCCGCAACCACTCCAGAGTCCCGATCAAGGTATAATCTCCTCCCGTTAACTTCCTCCCATTTTTCCGAAGCAATGAGAATAGTTCAGTGGTACTTTGAAACTGATTAAGCTTCTATTCGGGCTGTAATGTTGAAATTCTGGCCCTAATTCGAATGAATTTATGAAATGGTGCATCAGTGTATGGATTGTATAGATCTCTGTGTTAGAGCATGTACAATTGAACTTTTGGTTGGGTTGATTTTTCGAGAGCATGTCTCAAGGTATCTGATAGAATTTAGGATTAGGGTAGAGATAAATGAATTGAGCAATAAGATACTTGGATTGAACCACATTAAAAGATTGAATCCAATCGATTAGTTAGTTCAACTCAAGAGCTTATATACCAATTATTTTCCTCTTGAACTTTCGATGTGTGATGACACTCTAACACTCCCCCTCAAGTGGACAACCGGACCAGTTTGAATCTAACCGGTTGACCACTTGCAGATAAACTCCCATTCCTTTGATTTTTTTTGAGCGCCAACACCTAAAGGACCATGAGCCGTTGGGTATGGACTTTCAGACGAGCAATCGTGCCAAACGGGTCACAGGCCGTTGGGTACATACTCCATACGGACCATACGGACAACTGGACTAAAGACTAACGGGCCGCTAGGAATGAACGTCTATACGGACACCTTGACAAACGAGGTGTAGCGCAATTAGTGCTCGTTCAACGATATTACAAATTACTTAGCGGGTCCCGGGGGCGGCAGCCCTTAGTGGTAAGGTCCAAGGAGCAGCAGCTCCCGGTGGCGGGGTTCAATTGGTGGCAGACTCTTGATTTTCATAAACAGCCAAGTATTCAGATGCTAAATTTAGTATTCAAATACTAGGTATAACTTCTAGCAACTTTTGCCGAAAAGGTGGGTAGCATTCAAAATTTTGAGACATTAGTATTCGAATGCTACGTTAACTTCTAGCAGCCTTTACGAAAAGGTGTTTAGCATTTGGATGCTATGCTAATTGCTTATCATTCAAATGTTTTTGGATTCTGGATGCCTTAGCATTGGGTAGTGAAGGATTCTAGAGAACCCGGGTTTAGAGAGAGAATCTAAAGAGAGAAAGTGAGAGTTTATTTCAGTAACAAATTTGAAAGAATGAGTTCGGATCCCCCTCCCCACAGACCGAGGAGGGCTATTCGTAGACAAACACTTGGGCTATCTACCAATCTAAACGTCCAAGTCCTTTGCATTAGCAGGCTGACCTCCAATATACGGTCGAGATCCAGACCTTGGCTTGGGCCGTGGACAATCTCTGACATTCTTATGATCAGCCTAGACCGAGAATGGCCGAAGCCCTTCATGAAGCCTTCTCTTCAAGCCTCCATTCTTAATCTTCTACGTATCCTTCCATGGGTCGGATACCCTATTCTTAGGGTATCCATCGAGTAGCATTCGAATGCTATGCTTAGCCATTAGCATTCAAATGCTTCTAGACCCTGGAATGCTACTACTCTACTAGGTAGTATTAGAATGTTACCCGAAGAGGTGTGTTGGTTCAAGCCAACACATATGTCTGGTCAAAATATCTCTACATAACTTACGTCTTATCCGATTGAAGTATTTTTGAATACCACCAAAATAACTTTAATTTGAGAGTGTTCACGTGATTCGTAAAGTATATCCCGTCTTTCACATTCTCTCTTATGTCCTAAATGTTGCACATCAGCGTCTTATTTCCTGCAGTTTCAATGCTCAATAGTATTGTTTCATGTCTTTGTCAAATTCAGTACTGCAATGCAATCATCACAATTAACACTTCACAAACCATGGCTAAGAGATGCATGTTTTTATGCTCCCTTCACAGAGTTTCAGTGGGGTATCGTGTTGAATTCACGGCTTAACTCTGTTGGTAGAGTATGTACACGGCTAGATGGATGCATGGTTTATATTTAGGAGAATAGGGATATGAGATACAAAGTATATAATAGGATATGTGGATTCTTTTTATGCTTGGCTTCCTAACAACTTACTTTACATTCTCCCGTATATTATCTAGTTTGAAGAGCCTGTGTTGGTCCTGTTTGAGTACAAAATCTTTCATAGGCCTCCAATTACAAGTTTAAGCTTTTGATTGAGTTCATTCTTTAACATGATATTAGAGTCTTGTTGGCGTAAACATCATGAATTCAAAGATTATCACCACCCTTTTTTTAAAAACAAATTGATGTTTACATGTGAGGCTTGGACAATTAAATCTCGAATACATGTAAGGCGGCGTGTTAAAGTGTAAAATCTTTCACGGGCCTCCAACTACAAGTTTGTGCTTTCAGTTGAATTTGTTTCTAAACTGATCCAAACAGTAAAAAGTAAAAGATTTTTGTAAGTTGTCCTCCAAAAAATGTTAGGTGGTCTTTTGAATCTTTAGACTGAAGATTTAGCCCTAGCACTTAGTTCGGCTTAGCATGCCACGGGCAGTGCCTTGATGGTTTGAGCAAGGCCAAAATAAGGAAAGACAGAGCCTATCGAGCGTGATGGGGATTTTGGATTTTCATAATAGTGCTTTTTTAAAAGTAGGATATAGGCAAGATGCACATTTTTAATGAGTATCACGAACAAAGCTTTTCATTAAACTTTCTTTTCTAGAGGGCTTTATCTGAGCTAAAGAAGCTCTAGTTCTTTTCATGCATTGAACATTTCATTAGGATCCAAATATATTCTGAACATGTATGCGATCACCAACAGTGTTATCTTATTTTTGTGCTTCACTGGTTCCATTGCTATAACCTATATATATTGCACAGTATACGGTTAGATGTTAGTTTTATTTGCTGAGTTAGCGACAAATGCTTGTTTATTGCAAATACTTATCTTATTTATGCTTGAAGCAGGGTGCTTGTCATATGAGTCTCAGCTACCAAAACCAAGCAATAGTTTCAACTTTCAAGCAGGATTTGGACCTGACCTTGACCTTATGCATAAGATTTGAACTATCCCCGTCTTTGAACTGAGACTATATAAACATCCAACAACTTCCGCATGGAAAATTCAGTCTCTAATCTTTCCTCAAGGAAAAATTCTGGCACAAACTGTGCCATAATCAGTAAAATTCTTTCAAAACGACATGCCATTCCATCTGGTTCAAAATCTTTTGTGCATAAATCTGCAGCCAGGATATCTTTGTCGTGTCGTGGAAAAATGGGAATGGGTGCCGGTTGTCAGATAGCATTGTTCTTATTGAAACTTGCTGCTTTGGAGAGTGTCAGAAGGTTCTCAAAGTCAAAATCTCTTCCTGTGTGGTCTGGCCTCCAGGCTTTACATGTTTTCTGTTATCCTCCATTTAAATGGATCCAGAAGTGGAGTCCTTTTGGAATGTTGGTTAAAGGCATGCAGGTTGGTGGAAACTCAAAGTTCTATTGTATTCCTTATTTACGAGTTTAGATCATTATTTACTTTCTAAATTATTTTTTTCATTAGTGTTTGTTCTTTTCAACATCATGAAGTCTTAGATCTCACCAGAGCTAAGCTACGATTGGATAGAATTATTTTCACCGCTTATTATAGTTTGTTGTTCCCTCATGGCCTCATATTTGATTGTTGCTTACATAATGAAGTACTCCTATTTGACAATTGACATTATCTTAGAAAATGTCTGTCTTCATCTGGACATCTGATTGTTATGGCCTTTATTTTGGGATAGATGTTATCCCGACCTCTACTGGTGCTATCGATTGCCACAGCTTTCTCTGGTGATCCAGAGTGCGTCAGTTCTACCACAGAGATCAGTGGAGTTAATCAGGGGCATGATGACTCATATGATGTTTCAGAATTTCAGCAAGAGTTATCCTCTACACAGTCGGTGACCTCTTTGAGGTACACAACTGGTTTAATACTGTTTTGCCATTGCAGCAAGCAGTGAAACTTAGTGTTTAACAAACCCGTTCAACTTCATGCTCTTTTTTGACGATTAACCATATTTACCTTTATTTGTCCAGACTTGAGGATGATCTTTGTGTGCTGCCTGCCAATTGGCTATCTCAGCTTTATAAGGACCTGGAAGTTCAAGGCATTTCTTGGAAAGACAGGTTATTCTAGATTTAATCGAACATATTGGCATTGTCTTATCAATGTTCATGGTTTTGAAGTTCATGTTTTTTGTGCTTCTACTTGATAATTTCTTCGTGTTGATGGTTCAAAGTTCAAACCAGCTCTTCCATTAGAGTCCTTCAATGACATAAACAACTAGATGAATAATGAAATACAGATGGTGTATTTGGTTAAAAAAAGAATAAAGGATGAATGAAGTATAAAATCTGGCAATCTGCGGGAGAAAATATTAAGGAGATTTGAGAAGGATTTCAAATCTCTTGTGTTGATGATTGGAATGAAATAACTAGGAATACTATTTTCATTTTTTGGCATACTTTGGGATACTCAAAGGAGAAAGAAACAAAGAAAAAAGTTCCCTTTGAAGATTTAAAATAAAAACCTGGAGCACTATGCATAATTGTGTGGAATGGTCATTGAGCAACCCACTATTTTTTTTCCTTTTCTACATACAGTCAAACATGGCTCTTTTGCTGGATGGTAGATGGAAATTACATTATTTCATTTATTATGACGTGACAAAAAACACGCTTAATCTCATCATATCTTGATGTCATATTGCTAAGTTATTGCTTCTCTTCTTGCAGTGGAGCTTGACATTGATAATGTTTGTGCAGAATTGGTGAAGAAGAACTCCATAGATTTTATACTGCTGCAGATGGTGACTTTACGCGGTTGCTTTCATCTGTAAGGAAAACTATCCAATGGAGAGAGACTTATAGAATTATTTCTGGCCATGAACTAGACACGTGGTCAAATCTGGTATTTTGGCATGGATTTGATGTGAAGCAGAAACATCTACTTATAGTCCGTCTTGGTTTAGCTTGCAGTAGCTTGCCATTCTCTGACAGACAACGCTTTGGTCAAGCAGTTGGTATGGTTTTATGCCTCCATTTGTCGCTTTCTAGTAATTTTTAACAACCGTAGTGATTTTTAACAACCGTATTAACACAAATACGGTGGAGGAGACTAAATGGGGAGAATATCTCTGAGTTGGTCAGGCGAGTGGAGGAGAAAGGTGCGTGGGAATCGACCGGAGAGGCTACTGATATGTGGGCGCGGACTGCTAACTGCATCAGGGGCCAGGGAAGTGTTAGGTGTGAGCTCTGGCTCTGGGAGTGGCGTCAGGGTGACTGGTGGTGGAGCGATTTAGTCCGAAGTAAGGTGGAAGCTAAGAAGGTGGCGTATTTGAGGTACATGGGCTGCAATGTTGAGAAAGAAAGAGCGGCGTTACGAGTGGAGTACAAGAAGGCACGTAAAGAAGCTAAGTTAGAGGTTACGAGGGCAAAGAATGCCGCTTTTGAACGCCTCTACAAGGATATTGAGGAGAAAGGCAGTGTTAATCCACTGTTTCGGCTTGCTAAGGTGCGTGAGAGGAAGGCCCGAGACCTGGATCATGTGAGATGCGTGAAGGGCAGCGATGGTAGAGTGTTAGTTGAGACTGCCAAGGTGGCTAAGCGCTGGGGGGAGTACTTTAGGGAACTCTTAAATGCGGGAGGAGACCAAAGGCTAGTTCTTGATGAGTTGGGGCAGTCCGGGGCGTCTCGTGTGTATTGCCAGCGCATTTGCCAGGAAGAGGTTGTTCGGGCCCTCCGCGGGATGCGTAGTGGGAGAGCTTTGGGACCAAATGAGATTCCGGTGGAGTTTTGGAAGCATGCAGGTCGTGGTGCGAGGGTTTGGTTAACCAAACTCTTCAGTGTTATCCTCCGGACAGCAAAGATGCCTGATGAGTGGAGGGAGAGTCTCTTGGTTCCTCTGTTTAAAGGCAAAGGTGACATTCAGAGCTGCGAGAATTACAGAGGCATCAAACTGCTTAGCCACACCTTGAAGGTTTAGGAGTGTGTCATTGAGTATAGGGTGCGGAAAGGGGTTTGCATCTCTGAGAACCAATTTGGTTTCATGCCTGACAGATCGACTACAGAGGCCATTCATCTCGTGAGGAGGTTAATGGAAGAGTATAGGGCTAGGAAGAAGGACCTTCATATGGTGTTTATTGACCTTGAGAAGGCGTACGATAAGGTGCCAAGGGAGGTCTTATGGAGGTGCCTGGAGAAGAGAGGAGTTCCCATCGTGTACACTCGCGCTATCAAGGATATGTACGATGGGGCTTTGACCAGGGTAAGGACTTCCGGGGGTGACTCTGAGTCTTTCTCGGTAGGGATGGGGTTGCACCAGGGGTCTGTCCTTAGCCCTTTTTTGTTCGCCTTGGTGATGGACGTTCTAACCCAAGGTGTTCAAGAAGGGGTCCCATGGTGCATGCTTTTCGCGGATGATATTGTGCTTATCGACGACACACGTGAGGGAGTTAACGATAAGTTGGAACTATGGCGCCTTGCCCTTGAGACTAAAGGATTCAGAATAAGTAGGAACAAGACTGAATACATGGAATGTCGTTTCAGCGGCCGGGAAACAGAATTAGAAGTGGAAGTTAGGATTGACTCTCACCTAGTACCTAAGGTAGACAAGTTTCGTTATCTTGGCTCGGTAATCCAGGCTGATGGGGAGTTAGATGGGGATGTTGGACATCGTGTTGGAGTGGCTTGGGCCAAATGGCGGTTAGCTTTAGGGGTGTTGTGTGATCCGAAGATTTCACCCAGGATGAAAGGTAAGTTCTATCGATCCGTAGTCAGACCTGCTATGTTATATGGGGTAGAGTGTTGGGCGGTTAAGAAGACTCATGTGCATCGTCTGCATGCGGCAGAGATGCAGATGTTACGATGGATGTGTGGGAAGACAAGGTTGGATAGGATTTCGAACGAAGTTATCCGACGTCAGGTAGGCATGGCGCCAGTGGAAGATAAGTTGCGGGAAGCGAGGTTGAGATGGTTTCGTCATGTGAGACGGCGGGATGCTGACGCCCCTGTACGGAGATGCGAGAGGATTACGGTTATCGGGGGAAGTAGGGGAAGGGGTAGACCTAGGAAGAATTGGAAGGAGGTGATTAGGCAGGATTTAGGACTTCTCACCCTGACTGAGGATATGGCCTTAGATAGGAATCTTTGGAGAACTAGGATTAGAGTAGCTGGATAGGAGCTCGGTACTGTAGAGGTTGTTTGTAGTGTGTTGTGTTTGTTTGGAATCTTTTGCTATTGCTTGTACTTGGTGCTTTACCCGTGCTAAACTGTGTTCCCTTCCATATTTTTGTGCAGGTTGAGCCGGGGGTCTCTTGGAAACAGCCTCCCTACTTCCGAGTAGGGGCAAGGTCTGCGTACACACACCCTCCCCAGACCCTACTGTAGTGGGATTCAACTGGGATGTTGTTGTTGTTGTAGTAATTTTTAACAACATTCCCTTGCTCTTTTCTTAGAGAATGAGTGTTTTCTTTAGTAAGTCCAAAATATTACAGTGCTCGTCTGACTTTCTTCAACCTTCGGGGTACATTTTGAACACGGAAGTACTAGTGAAAGAAAATAGGGAGGAAATAGAGAGCAATTGGAAGGGAAAGATTCTGGAAGAAAATAAAAGATAGACTCATTTGTTTGTTTGTTTCTGGTAAATAAAGAATAGGATAATCAAGATGTATGCAAAGAAAAAAAATCATATTTCACTCTCCCTTTAATTTCATAGGTTAATCCCAAACATAAGAAAACTGCTTTTTTAAATAGCATTTTACCATTTCCCTAGGTTTTTCCGAATAGTTGCTTGGCTCAAGGAATGTCATATTACCCTAGGAAAGTTGGATCACTATAATGTTTTCGAACTGTGTTTGGTTAATACTTTCTGGTTGTTCGTATTCATAATTATCTGTTGTATTCAATCAATTTTCTTTTTCATCTGAAGTATCTCAGGTATATTACGGCATCATGCATCTAGCAGACCGAAAGAATCCTCAAATAACCGTTTTGGTTGACTGTGAGGGCTTGTCTCCTTTCAGACTTCCTATGCAGATGTTAAAAACATGTTCTACTCTTCTGCAAACCCACTTTCCAAATTCCCTTGGATGCTTATTCGTTATAAGGCTTCCATCTATTATTCGAGTTGTTGCCCAAACTTTTGTGCAGGTGTGCCTTAAACTTTTGTTTTCTGGTCTGGTTGTTACTTAGTTCTGTTTGGAACTCGGGATTTACCATAGAAAGAAAACTTGGAGGAAAATAAATTTGAAGGAAAGAAATTTTATTGTATAAACACTAACTCACTAAGAAGCCTATATAATGTAATTTGCATATGCATTAGCTCAAGTAAAACCAAACATAAGAGAGTAACTTCTCTTCGGGTATTCCGAGATTCAAACACACCTTTAATAGTTTTCTTGAAGGTTTTTATGTAAAATAAAAAGGAAAGTTCATATGGTCTCTCAATTTTTGCCCAAATCTGCAACAGGTTTTAAAACCCATCACCCGGCAAAAACTGAGATTTTTAGGAGAGAATTACAAGAAGGTTCTTTCTGAGTGTGTAGAGGCACTCCCGCCATATCTCGGCGGGTCCTGCACATGCTCAAGATGTGACATTGGCCATACGCACACTGAAGAGGAGATGCCCAAGTCCGAATCAGATTTGAACCGCGAAGAAGATCTCGCGCCATCTCTTTCGGGCGAAAGGATGGATGTATCACATGGTGATGCTAACTCTGATCAGGTACTCAGTATGGCCCTACTGGGTTTCCTTGTTTTTGCAGTATTATTATATGCCTATATTTCTGGAGTTTATGGTCCACAAACCGGCCGTGTTGTACCTCCTTGAGGCAATCTTGTACATAGTTACTCTCAGTGGATATCAATTTCTGCTAAAGATTGCTAGGTGTGCTTGTGTGTGAAATCTTTGCCCCCTCCCCCCCCCCACCCCACCCCAAGAAATGAAGCAGCAAAGGTCATTGTAATAGTCCTCTAAGAAATGAAGCCAATTGTTGGAATAAATTAAGCTTACAGTATTAGGAATGCACAAGTGACCCACACAAGTGCCCTCCGGACGTGGGCGCTATACGTTGACTCTTGTTTTTTTTGTGAAACACTATTCACAATCATCTATCTCATTAAAATATCAACACATTTTAATTTTATAGATTTAATTTGGGGGGTCTAGCTATATAATTTATTTAATTAATTATCAACACGTACTTATTTATTGTCCAAGTAGTAGCGAATATATATTATGAGTAGCTAAAATGGAGGGAGTTTGTTGATATAAACATTAATGAAGGCTATGATATTCACAAAGAATATGAGTGGTTAATGGGCTTTTGAAGTACATTTCAGCATAATCAGATAGTGTGAAATAAACTTACTATTTCTAAACACCAGATCTTTCAATGGCTTGGATGGAGAAATAGAATTCTCACAAAAGTTAAATTAAACAAATTTATGAAGGAGAGGAAGAAAAGTCAAATTGTGATAGCTAGTTTTGTTGCAATATGTTATGTGGTTTGGAGGACCGGAAATATGAAAATTAAGCAGCATAAATGTATTTTTTTGAAGTAGTAGGCTTCTGTTGTGTTTGAAGGTAGTTGTGTTGAACTTGTATTTTGGATGACTTTTGATGGGGTTGAATAAAATTCGGTTCATTTGTTCAAAAAATATAATAAAACAAAGAAAGACTCTGTAAATCACAAGCATGAGTTGACAACAAGAAAATAACATAATAAAATGTGAATTTTTTTCACGTAGCGTATCAAATGATGAACCTGTAAATATTGTTTATTTAAAACCAAGCATTTACGGGAGTATTCATGTAAATTTTATTCTTAAATACAAAAGTAATCTAGACTATTTTGTACTTCCTCCGTCCCTAAATATTCACAACATTTGCTTTTCAGTAGTGTCGGAAACTTTTTGTTTATTTCGACGTTTTTATTGATTATTTGATAAAATAAAATATTCTTGACACCTCTTATTTTGAAGAACTTTTCATGTAGTTTTTTATATGTAAATTTTATTTTTTATTTCTTTACCAATATGTAGATAAAATGAATTGAAAAAACTTGATATTTTGCCTCGGAAATACAAATGTGGCAAATAATTTGGGACGGAGGGAGTATCGATTTATATTTTCAAAAAATTATCTTATCATTATTTTAGTAAAATATACTCCCTCCGTCCTATATCTTTCTTCCCATTGCGCAAAACGAAGAAAAATCCCAAGTTTTTTCAATCTATTTTATTTAAATATTGGTATAAAAATAAAAAATAAAACATACATATTTAAAAACTACATCAAAAGTTCAACAAAACAAGTGGTGACAAGAATATTTTATTTTATCATATAGGCCATGAAAAAACACAAATAAATATAAATTCCCGTGAAGTTGGAATAGTGCTCTAGGAAGAAAGTTTTAGGATGGAGGGAGTAATAAAGATAATTACAATACAATATGAAATTTGGAGACAATGGAAAAATAAATGTGAATTTATTTTTGCAGGAATGACAACAAAAATTGTAGATAGTCATCAAAAATGCAAAAATGTGAAAAAGCCAACTATCCTAGCGAGGTAGAAAAAGGACAAAACCCTCAAATTTTCATCATCCAACACAGCAAAAAGCACAATCCGCGCCTTCACACAATTGTTCAATTTCGTTCGTCGATTCCATTAAGATCAACGGTCCCCACGTACACGTTCGCCTTCAAAGCGGATTGCCATGCTGCACCGTCGATTAGCCTCCTAATCGAACGATCAAGATTGATCTACAGAGATTCAGTTTCGACGCAACCTCCCGGAGCCGAAGTATAAATAGTCTCCCCTTCCACCATATATTCCACCATCAAAACTGAGTTCCCAATTCAGAACCCTAAGCATCTTTCTTCAATCAATTCGTTTCTTCAAAAATGTCCGGCCGTGGTAAAGGAGGCAAGGGATTGGGAAAGGGAGGCGCCAAGCGTCACCGGAAAGTTCTCCGGGACAACATCCAGGGCATCACTAAGCCTGCAATCCGCCGTCTGGCTCGCAGAGGCGGCGTGAAGCGTATCTCCGGCCTCATCTACGAGGAGACCAGAGGCGTTCTGAAGATCTTCCTCGAGAATGTGATCAGAGATGCCGTGACCTACACGGAGCACGCCCGGAGGAAGACTGTTACGGCGATGGACGTCGTCTATGCGCTCAAGAGGCAGGGAAGGACTCTGTACGGATTTGGTGGATAGAAATGTTATTGATTCCGTTCAAAGGTTTCTTCTTCGATCGGAGTGTTCTTCAATTAGATCTGTTAGTCTAGTTTTAATTTTACTGCTTATGCGAACTGGGGAACATGTATAAGTTTGTTTGGCAATTCGAGAAATTGAGGATGGATTTCTTCAGGTTTTACTGGTTTTTGAAGAATTTCTCCTTCATATGCTTTGATTTTTATTTGAAACGAAGTCTATCAAATTCCGCCATCTTCAAAGCAATTTACGCTGTCGTAGAATTTGGTTACCAACTCTTTTTTGAAGCCATTAATATTTACTTGTTTTGTGAGTTCTAATCGTCACCATTGAGAATGGATATAGGTCGATTCAGTATGATTGATGGTACTTTTCAGTGTTTTGAAATTATTTTCAGTTCGTATGTAAAGAAAATGTCTCTAGCTTATGTGTTCTTTGAGCTTTTTCTGATCCTGAGCTTTAAAGACGCAAGTGCTATGGGACCTTGGTTTTAAACCTGCTGAGAAAAGTTGCCTGAAGAAGATAACCAACTTCTTATATTGCAGATTGTTCCCTAACGTTTCTCAGGAGCTTCTGTTTTTGGTTCACTGCGTCTTATCGGCAAAGAAGAAGATAACCAACTTTTTTAAATTACAGGTTGACCCCTAACTTTTCTGAGATTGGGAAATCGATCATAGGTCAGATTTTGATTTTTGACATACGAAGTGTCCAAATAAAATGAGAAATGTTATTCTTTCGTTTCAATTTCGAGTATTTTATTAGGGAAAAAACAATTCGAACCAACCTAACAGAATATTTAAACTAATAAAAATGCACACCAATACTTCTAAAAATAAGATTTTCTATGAAAACTCTCCCAGATTTGATAATTACTTACTTCCTTCATAGATCTTCTCAATAGTCCTTTTTCTTTGTCCACAATAGATCTTCTCATTTCATTTTTTAATAATTAAAATACCACAACTACCCCCACTTACTTTATTTATTACACCTCACCCACCTCATTTAATACACTCTACCCATTTTTCATTAAGGGTATTATGGTAAATTTTCACTTTTTTTCAACTCTCATGTCATTATTCACCACTTGTTCAGTTAAGTTAAATGTTACGTGAAAAAAATTTACTTTTCATTTTAATCTTATTAGGAATGAGAGTTCTAGGTCTTCATGCGCATTGTGTTCCTACTTTTGTTCCTCTAGTATTGCATTTTTAACTCCATTACTAAATTTTTTCACTTGATTTTTTTCATAAATTTAAAATGTTTATTAATACTCCATCTATTATTGTATATATTACTCTGTAATAGTTTGAGTTTGATTCTCCGCGGAGTTCTATAAACTAGATATATATAATTGAAAATGATGTAAATGAAGTAATTAGCTATACCAAAACATATAGTTAAATAAAATTTAGATTTTTTAAATAATTAAAAGACCTATGACTTTCTTTTTTAATAAATTTAAAATAAAAAAATAGTCTAAATATATAGGTTAGTTTTTTTCACGTAAGAATTGATCGGGCAAGTAGGAAGTAACAACATTAAAATTTAAAAAAATTGTGACAAAGTTAATTATCAAATCTAAGAATATTTTCGCGAAAATCACATTTTTGGAAGTATTTGTATGATTTTTTTATCAAAACTAAAGATATACGAGTATATAAAAGTGAAATTTGCACTAAATAGGACTAAAACATAATGACTTTCCTAATGTAAGACTTAAACTTTTTTATTCCCTAAGGACTTAATAATGACCTAGTGGGAGGAATAATGTCCAGTAATGATGGACATTTACTTGAATAATGACTACTTCATAATAACTAAAGGTCCTACATTGGGAAATAAATACATATGGTCCTATATTGGGAAAGTCATTATGTTTTAGTCCTATTTAGGTAAATTTCTTTATATAAAAATGCAAATTCTTATTTGGATTTATGTTTTCTTAGTGCATTTGTTGTATAAAAGAAGTAAGTCTTTATAAAAAAATATCCATACACATGCCAATGAAAATTATGAGAAAGTCCATTTTTTAAATATGGACTATGAGATCATCTAAACATCACTCATTTAAAAAAACGTAGGAATATATGTGAAGCGATAATTGTCTTTGAACTCAAATTCAAAGATAGTTCATTTGCTTAGGGTATTCGTCTAGTTCGACTTTTTCCGTGTCAATTCTGGAAAACTTGATCATCAACTACTCTCAAAATACAATGCACATTACTCCATAATAAAATTATTTTCTTTTTTTTAAAAATTTTTGAAAAATAAATTTAATGAAGTGTATAAAAAAAACTCCGTACAATTTTATTTATTTAAGATTCAAAGTTCATCAAATTTGAATAGACAAAATCAAAGTGGACGAATATACTGAGATGAGGTTTATTCTTTCAGATTAATTTATTTTATTTCAGATTACCATTTGACAAGTTTCAAGGGATAACCGGACATGAGGTTTATTCTTTTTTACTCCCTCCGTCCTATAATGATCTTCTCAGAGCACTATTCCAACTTCACGGGAATTTATATTTATTTGTGTTTTTTCATGGCCTATATGATAAAATAAAATATTCTTGTCACCACTTGTTTTGTTAAATTTTTGGTGTAGTTTTTAAATATGTATGTTTTATTTTTTATTTTTATACCAATATTTAAATAAAATAGATTGAAAAAATTTGGGATTTTTCTTCGTTTTGCGAACCGGGAAGATCATTATAGGACGGAGGGAGTATCTTATTTCCCTGTAGAATATATGATAAAAGTAAACTATTCAAATAATATAAACATTAATAGTTAATGTTT